GCCACAGCTGCCCTGGGGCAGACTGACAGAAGCGAGGCTGCCATATCGCGCCATCGGCCCCTCAACACCAGTAGGCGGTAGGTGAAGTGTCTTGCCCAAGGACACAACGACCAGGACAGAGAGCCCGGGGATTGAACCGGCGACCTTCCGGTTACAGATACGCCACGGTCGCCCCAAGATGTGTAGGCAAACATGCAGAATGTTACAGATTCACCTCAGGATGTACTGGGTCCAGTACTATCAGTAACTCTCATATTCAGCTTTGTGAAACAGAGCCCATCATTTCAGATACATCTTTTCCTTTTATTTTTTCATTCTATGTGGTTCTTTTTACCAATACGGATCAGTTACTATGAGCCACTTTAGTCCATCAAATAGCAGGAAGCGAATGTTTTACCCAAATATAGAGCCAGAACCTTTTAGAGAGTCTGACAAACATCATCCTCCGCTTTTTGTGTCTACAGTCCTGACATCTATGATAAAAACAATCAAAACATTTACATTTTTCGAGTTAAAAATGCACATAGTACAAACAGTGAAATTTTTAATTGAGTGGCATAATTTTTCTTCATCAGTGGCTGTGTGCAACCACCTTAAAACCTCCTTTGTGTGTTTATTAAAAAGATATACATTCTCTTAAATGCACTCAGAGCCTGAGTACATTCATTGATTAGAAGATTTGTTTCCCGTTAGTCACCTAATGTTGTGAACAACTTTGCACTACCAGTTAAAACAATAGTTTAAAACGACTGACGACAAGCCAGAATGAGGCTTCATGCCTGCTGCGAGCCTCGCTTCCAGTATCGACTCACCACACATTTTATGAGTTTCACGTCGCTAGTGCTGGATTGGATTGGATTGGATATTCCAGAGTATTTTGGTCTATATAGACATGATAACATCACGCGCTTGCTACAGATTTGTTGACATAAATCTCCTGTTTCACCACCTTCCTAAGGTGCTCTGTTTTGTTGAGATCTGGTGACTGTAGAGGCCAGTTGTGGAGTACAGTGAAATTATTGTCATGTTCGAGAAACCAGTTTGAGATGCTTCGAGCTTTGCGACATGGTACACTATCCTGCTGGAAGCATTTGTCAAAAGATGGGATCAAAAGATGAGTTGGTACTAAGAGACCCAAAGTGTGCCAAGAAAATTTACTCCATACCATTATGCCTCCACCAACAGCCTGTACTGTTGATACGAGGCAGGACGGATCCCTGCTGTTATGCTGTTTACACCAAATTCCGACCCATCTGAACGTTGCAGCAGGAATCAAGACTCATCAGGCCACAGAACGTTTTTCCAGTCTTTCTACCAAATTTTAGTGAGAATTGTAGCTTCACTGTTTTGCTTCAGTCTTCTGTATGTGAGTGTATGCCTCACGTGCATTCATTATCTTTGTCATTAAAAACGAAAAGAATACATGGCAAGAAAACTGGAGTAGATTCCAGCCACCCCCTGACCTTGGATTGGGTAAGCAGAACAAAAATGAAAGGAAGGAGATGGTCAGAAAAATCAGAATAACAAGTGCAGACATTTCAGAAATATTGTTAACACTTTTTTTTTTCTCCATATATTTTTATTGAAATTTCTTATAGTACAATACAAACAAATGTTGAACACCCTCACATTCACACGTCCATCCATACATCAAACCTGCCTACATCACATTCAAATGTAGAAATGAGCATAGTTCTCACAGTAATACAAAAATACAATGGGATAGGATAGACAAGATTTTCCCTTCCTTCCCTTCTTCTTTTCCTTCTTTTTCATAAATGTCCTTCACCTCCACTCCCTAAAATATCCATATATGGCTTCCACATATTCACAAAGTCCCATTGTTTGCCCTTGGCAATATATGTTAGTCTTTCCAGGCCTAGAGAGACTGCAATTTCCTTCTTCCAGAGTCCCATGGAGGGAGCATCCATACTCTTCCAACATAGCGCAATGGCTTGAAGTAGTCCATAGTCCAGTAATTTAGTGGTTTTTTTTCCCGATTGCTTAAATTCCCTTGGATATATTCCAAGAACACAGAGTTTTCCTTTTAAAGGGATTTTTACCTTAAACACTTTGGACAGATATTTGATAACATCTTTCCAAAAGTCCTGGATTTTAGGACACTCCCATAGACAATGAAGAAGAATTCCTTTTTCAACTAAACATTTAGTACAGATGTCCAGAATATCATTGGACATATGATAAAGCTTGACAGGTGTTATATAGGTTCTCATGAGCCATTTATATTGCAGTAGTTTAAAGCGTGTGTTTATTGTTTGTTTTTGTGCTTTTAAGCAAGCCTGGTTCCAGTCATTTTCATCTATGTCCTCTTGGATCTCCCTTCTCCAAGCATCCAGCTTATCTGCTGCTGAGTCTTTGGAGGAAAGCATCAGTAAATTATAATATATAGAGAGAAAATATTGTTAACACTTGAATAAAATTAAAACCCAGTAGGCGTGTTTTTCAAACAGTTCATAATATATTTTGAATCCATCTGATTCAGAATACCTGCATATGCTGATTTGAAGCTTGTGTTTCTGCCGGTGCCCACAGTCTTGCATTTATCAGAGTTGGACAGTAGAGGTACCGTTTTATATTGGTTTAAAATACACAGAATTTCTCGATTTGTTTCATTTCAGTAGCGTGATCAATTGTGAAGTCTTTGCACTGAAACATCTTAATAATTACTGTGAACTTTTACATTTCTATCATTTTTCAAAGCAAATCCTACTGTTTTAGACTCACCATGTCTTTAAGAGCAGTTACAGTATTGTCTGTGTCTTTTAGTCAGGTACTTCAGCATCTGCTGCACAAAAGCTTTTCTTTTAAAGATTTATGGGCCACTCAGAAAATTTCTGTTGTGGTCTAATGGCCTTGATTATAAACTGGTTGCAAACTAGCAGCACTGTATTAATGTATTAAAATGTTTCTTTTATTTCTTCCTAATATTTCGCCTTTTCTGGTACCTCTGATCCTCTGTCACCTCAGCCTTCAGTAGATGAAATATTTTTCTTATTCAGTCTTACATTTTCATTCCATTTTACCTCTATAAACACTGCACATGAACTTTACAGACTTTATTATAAAATACAGCAGTAAACTTTAACATATCGGGGGGTTGTTTTTCTTCCACAGGAATTAATCATGGCCCAGTGATAGCCGGAGTAATCGGAGCAAGGAAACCTCAGTATGACATCTGGGGCAACACAGTCAATGTAGCCAGCAGAATGGAGAGCACTGGAGAGCTGGGAAAAATCCAGGTATGTTCTTTAAGGTCAAATGGTCAGCATATCTCAACATTTACAAAAGATCCAATTTCGAACTGGACTCGCGTTTTATTTTCCTTACCTATCTCAACTGCTGCAAAAATAAACTCCTCCTGTCCTTAACCAGCCACGAGAACATCCTGAGAAAACCGTTACATTGTTTCTTTCTCTTCCAATTGCACTTTATGCTCTGTATCACATTTATTGGCAGATCAAAAGCTATTCATGCTTTAACTTGATAAAATATGTAAATTACTTTGGAATCAAAGCCATTAGCAGAGGCAAAGTGCCACCTGAGATGCGTATTGTTTAATGTAGTCACGGGAAAACGATTTTGCTGCAAGGAAGGTCTCGCATTGAATTTGGGCTAATCCAATTTCCTTTCCGTTTGCTTTGCCTGCTTTCAGGTAACAGAGGAAACGTCTGTCGTGTTGCAGGACCTGGGCTACTCGTGCGAGTGTCGCGGACTAATCAATGTGAAGGGGAAAGGGGAGCTCAAAACTTTCTTTGTGTGCACCGATATGAGCAAGCAGCAAGGTATGGGTCTGAGCTGAGGCCAGGTCAATGCTGCAAAAAGAACTGGGGACAAACTAGTTTACAGACTTCTGCTGGTCACACATGCGGACCTGCTAGCTGCGTTCCTGTGATGTTTCTGAATTAAGGATTTTTAAAGGAACTGCTTATTTGCTGTGTGGTGGATATTGCATTCAACACCCAGCATCTCATGGTTGGATCAGAAGATGACTGAGGAGATGGTCAGTATGTACAATCACCATCTTTTTCGAGTCACAAACACATTGACACAAGTGATCGATCACTTTTGTACTATTTTCCATGTCTGTAATTTTATGTGATAGAAAAAAACGTGTATTGTACTAAAGCCAAATGCAGTTGAGATTTTGGATGTCCATTTTGGTCTTTTAAAACAAAAAATAAGAGGGGGAAAAATCTCCAGTGGATTCTGTTTGAATCTGAAACTTGTATGGGTTCTGTTTTGAGAGGCGATGGACACTGTTGCTGTTACTGTGTAATGAGCCAGACATAAATGTGTTAAGCTGTTTCAATGTCAGAAACCAGCTGTGCAGAAGACAGGGAAACTTCTCTTGCTCCCATCTATAGAAGTAAATCTAGAAAGCTTTACTTTGTGGCTGAACTGCAAATCCTGAAGCAGATTAAGATTAGGTTTCCATCACTTTGTGGTCTTTATGTGACCTTTTAGGAATTCCAGCTGTGCAGTTTGGCCTTAGGAACAATAATTTAATATTAAGATACGTACTGTGTTTCAGGAGGAAATACATTTTCTTTATGTATGCCATCTGTGTAAGTGTTTAATCTGCTCAGAAAAGAAATCCATTTTCAGCATCTTTGCCTGCCTGTCTCCATATATGCTGCGATGAAGGGTATCTGTGACGCTCTCTTCGATGTCCTCGATCTATATGATCTAACAACCTGCCTGCTGTGAATGTTTTTTCTGGCCCCAGCTCAGAGACCACTTAAACTGATCTGGATCACTTTCTGTGCCTCTGAAACTTGTCTTGTGGCCTTATCTTCTGAGACCAACATTTTGTCTGTAATTGTGGTTACATAATATTAACAACAACAATAATAATAATAATAATAATAATGTACTGGCCTTTCCGTGAACAAATGTGACATTGACTTTTGTACAGTTACAGAATGTAATAAATGTTTTAAGTCTGCAGTTTGTCACGCAGTGTTACACAAGAGCCAAGGTTGTTGGTTTTTATTAAAAAAGGTTTATTGGCTGAAAAGCATACAAATGTAACACAAGAAGCACTTTTTGTACAAAACTTAAGTTATTACACTGAATGAGAGTGTTTGGAATTTCATTACACAGCGACGACTGGAACCACATCTGGACAACTGGTCTCCATGGCTTCAGCCGTGTCCTGCACTGAAAACGTGGAAAAGTTCTCGTCTGCAATTTTCTGTTTTTTGTAAGGTTACATACTGCATTTCACACAACTTAAGAGAAACTGCCTTTTACCTGTAGTGAGGTCTATGAAGAGCTCAGGTGGGTCTGGAGGGGCAGCAATGCCCATGGCCTTCCTGATGCCGTAGATACTGCTGACATCACATGGGGCCACCTGACTAGTTAGCTCAGCCAAGTTTGATGTCACCTTCTCAGCTGTAAAGGTAGGAGGATGAACGTGAAGACAGCAGGAAATTAAGAAAAAGCAGATTTAAAAACAAAAAAACAGATGTAGGACTGGTTGTATTTACCAGGCCTACATCTGGTTGTTTTTTGTTTGTTTGTTTTAATCTATATATCTATTGATACTCTGACTTGGATCAGCTGCTGTTTGTTTTTGCAGCTCCAAACATGTTGGCAACAGACTGTCCTCTGGTGGGCAAAACAGGCAACACTCATATTCGAAGGGTGTTTCTCACATCTCTCCTTTACTTTAATTTTCATTTATTAACTGTTGAATACACAGATACAGACGTATTGCCAAATTGCTAATAATATTAAATGTGATGGCAGGAGCATGCTGCTGACATGTTTATCATGGTGACAACACTTGAGGCAAGATAACGGAACTGCTATTAACCTTGTTATTATATTAATTAAATTATCCTACATTTTAATAGCAAACTGAATAAAGAAATATCTTCCTGCCTTTACACTTAACATGATTTGATTGGCTGGTGCCTGTATTGGCATTCTACATGACTAACTATTAAGTTATGAGTACAAACAGCAAGCGAGAAAAAGAAAGAAAACAGATATGAACTGAACCACATTTCTTAAGAACTGTTACATCCATTACAAAATGTCACTTTACAGGAAGTGACCTCCGGAAAAACAAGTTGATATGTTGATACATGTTAATAGCTGGAAGTGGCTTAAATATATGGTTTAAATGCTCTAACATGGAAAGGATGCAATCAATGAATCATCCTAAATCAGTGAGTAAACTGATGGACAGGTTTGCGAAATTGTATTTAAACAAAAAAAAAATCATTTTATTCTTGTCCTATTGTAAGATAATCAGCCTAGTGTGGCTGACTTTACTTACAGTAATTGATGTTTCTTGTTTAAAGTCTCCTTGATGCTGAACTGAATAAGGAACTAGCTCCCTCGGTTTAATTTGATTGGCTGGTGCCTGTGCTGGCCTTCCACA